GTATGCCTGTGTGTGTGTGTCAGTATGTCTGTGTGTATGCCTATGTGTGTATGCCAGTATGTCTGTGTGTGTGTCAGTATGTCTGTGTGTATGCCAGTATGTCTGTGTGTGTGTGTGTGTGTCAGTATGTCTGTGTGTATGCCAGTATGTCTGTGTGTGTATGTCAGTGTGTGTGTGTGCGTCAGTATGTCTGTGTGTATGCCAGTATGTCTGTGTGTGTATGTCAGTGTGTGTGTGTGTCAGTATGTCTGTGTGTATGCCCGTATGTCTGTGTGTGTGTATGTAGGTATGTCTCTGTGTATGTGTGTGTACGTGTGTGTCAGTATGTCTGCCAGGATATATTTGTGTGTCAGTGTATGTGTGTGTCAGTATGTATCTGTGAATGTTTTAATGTCTGTCTGTGTGTATGTCTGTATGTCTGTGTGTGTGTGTCAGCATGTCTTTGTGTGCCAGTATGTCTGTGTGTGTATGTAAGTATGTCTGTGTCTGTATGTGTGTGTCAGTCAGTATGTCTGTCAGTGTATGTGTCTGTGTGTGTATGTATGTATGTCTGTGTGTGTGTGTCAGTATGTCTGCCAGGATATATTTGTATGTCAGTGTATGTGTGTGTCAGTATATATCTGTGAATGTTTAATGTCTGTCTGTGTATATGTCAGTATGCCTGTGTGTGTGTCAATGTCTGTCTGTGTATATGTCAGTATGCCTGTGTGTGTCAATGTGTCTGTCAGTGTATGTGTCTGTGTGTTTTAGTATATCTGTCAGTGTATGTGTTTGTGTGTGTGTCAGTATATCTGTTAATGTATGTGTCTGTATGTATGTCTGTGTGTGTGTCAGTATGTCTGCCAGTATATATTTGTGTGTAGTGACTTTGTGTGTCAGTATGTATCTGTGAATGTTTTAATGTCTGTCTGTGTGTGTATGTGCCAGTACGTCTGTCAGTGTGATTGCGGGTTGGAGGTAATTGGGGGGTGAGGCAGTGGCAGGGACAGGGCCCATGGGGCCCAAGAAAATGCATTGCCCAGGGTCCTAATCATATTATAGACGGCCCTGTGCAGGTCCAAGCTGAAACAAAAGGAAAGTGAAAAACAAACGGGTGTGGCAACATAAAACAAACATTTAAGTGAATCCAAGAGACTGGGAAATCCAGGGACAGAATATAAGAATGAACTCAGAAACCCAGCAACAAAGAAAACCAGACATAGACCAGAAAAACCAAGCAAGGACAGCAAACATAGTACTGGATACCAGAAGCCATTGCCAGAATGATCCACAGCAAGGAACAGGATGTGATACTCCCTGTGAGATGTACTGCCGCTGGGGAGTAGGACCGCCTGTCCTTACTCTCGGTACTTCCAGCTGTTTAATGAGCACACAAAAGCAACAGCACTCATGCAGCAAAACAACTCCTCCTCAGTGGAAAACAAAATGACAGTTAAGTTCAGTCAGTGTTTGAATATATGACAGTTATAAGGTCAGACAGAGTTTGAATGTAACAAAGTATTAAGGTTTAACTGGTGTTCTAGGAGGGGGGAGGGGCAAATAAAACAGGGTTTTCTTCACAATTTAAAGCTGCAGGCTGCTCCAATATAATTTAAAGGGGCAGACAGTACAATAAAATCCAATATGCCCAAATAACGTTTTATAACCCCTTAAAACCGGAGGGCATACTATTACGCCCTATTCTAAGCGGCTCTGAACGTCGCAGGGCGTAATAGTACGCCCTCTGGTTTTTTGTTACTTACCCATCTCGGTTGGGGAGACTCACCTGGGATCCCAGGGAGTCCCCTGCGGCGGATCCTGCCTCCTTCCGCCCCCCCGGCCATGTGAGAGTGAGGTCCTTGCGAGGGCCTCACAATCACATGGCTGGGTTAGCTGGCTGCTGCATTGCCAGCAGGGGGACTGCCTGTAATGACAGTTAGTCCCCCTGCTGGCTGGAAATAAAATTAAATTAAATTAAAATCAGTGTAAAAAAATATATACTTAGATCATATATATACATTATATATATGATCTAAGTATATGTATACACATATACATACACACATACACTGTCTAGGTGTATTTTACTATTAATATATATACATATATATATATATATATATATAATTATATATATTAATATCAAATTACACGTAGACTGATTAAGTATATATATAATTATTGTTATATATATTTATATATAATATAAAAAAATATGTAAATACGTTAAAAAATAATATTAAAAAAATAATAAAAAAATAAATAAAAAATATATACATGTGTGTTATTTCATTCTAACTGTATTGTGATATTAATATATATATATATATGTTAAAATACACGTAGAACGAAATAATATATCTATATACATAAATATATACGTATATATCACTATATATATACTTATGTATAAATAAAAATATTTTTAAAAAATTATATATATATATATACATACGTATATATGCATATATTAATTCTACATATATATTTATGTAATATTTTTACATAATTAGGTATCTTAATTAATTACAATTAGCGGGACCTGCCTGACAACCCATGCCGAAAGTATAGGGAATTTAATTTGCTAGCATTATATTTAACCCTATAACTTTCCAAGACACCATAAAACCTGTACATGGGGGATACTGTTTTACTCGGGAGACTTCGCTGAACACAAATATTAGTGTTTCAAAACAGTAAAATGTATTACAACGATGATATCACCAGTAATAGTGACATTTTATGCATTTTTCACACACAAACAGCACTTACACGGACGATATTATTGATGTGATATCAATCAATGTGACTTTACTGTTTTGAAACACAAATATTTGTGTTCAGCAAAGTCTCCCGAGTACTACAGTGCCCCTCATGTACAGGTTTTATGGTGTTTTCAAAAGTTACAGCATCAAATATAAGGCTTGTGTTTCATTTTTTCACATTAAAATTCGCCAGATTGGTTACACATAGACAGTGTATGTGTAAGTGTATATATGGAAATATGGAGCCTGTAGTTGTGGGAGTGGTTTGTCCGGCCTATAAATTCAAAGGCCTCCCCTTCCTCTGAGCCGAGACTTCCTGGTTCCAGTACAGAACCATCTATTTCTGGTTCAAAGGTCATCATCACAAACTGTATGAACGCCAAACAAACAAGCTGGTCTTGGCCTAGTATGGCCCACGCAAGTATTCATTTTACCTCCTTTAAATAGAAAATAGCTCTCCCATGAAGCTCCTGGGGCACTGCCACATCCTGTTGCTGTTCACGTGTTTTTCAGCAAAACCGTAAGTTTGTTTGCTTTGGTCCGCGTTGGGTCATGCTATCACTGACATTCCACACATATTCTGCCGACATTTGGCCTTCAACTAACTAGGGTATTCAGATATGGGGAATTTCACTACTAACTTAAATACGGCTTATTTCAATCACAGCATCACAGTGATACCTCAATTCGGTTCATGCATTCTGCTTACTGTATTCGAACATATATTTTATAGTATGCAATTCAGTTAGTCACCCTATGTTCTTTTGTATAATAAATGCTACGATATATTGCATTTTCATATTTGCAACGTTTGTTACTTATTTTCACCAGGCCTCAGTCCCTTTATGTATTTTTCATGGTTGCTCTCTTGGTATTCAGGCACTCATGGGACTACAGTGTTTAGTAATTATGTTACTACTGAGTGTGTAAATTCATATCAGGCCAAAACTTGGGCCTATACATGTGTTCAGCATTTATGGTACAGCCTGTTTATACTTTGTCTTATGTTACAGTCTGTCAAAATTTACATTGTTTTAAGCCCTTTCTGGTCTCAGCACGGGATTAGTCAATCATAAAATTGTCTGTCATAATTATGTCTGTTATATGGCCATATACATGGCCCTCACCTAAATATGTTATAGTCGCACTTCAATTAAGACATGCCATGAACCAGGTCCACCACTTGGGGACACGCCACTGCCACCACCCCCTGCACCCCCCCCCAAAAAAAAAACTGCTTAGTATATATACCCCAAATGAAAACATGCATTTTTTTTAAACAATTTTTATTTTATAATGGGGATCATATTTACAAGTGTTTCTTAACAAGCCCTACAGGGCCTCTAACACATCGATTCGACCATCACTAGCATCACATTAATGCATGTTACTCTGTTATTCTAGCATTTGCTGTTGCTCTCAACCCTATTGTGCTATACCAATTATGTATGCATAAGTGTTAATCATACTCCTAAGCATTCCACAAGTATGCCTTATAAATGCATGTATTGCAAAAAAATTATAATATAAAAACATTACGTTACTTTTCCCAAGCTACACGTTTTATAAACGTATGTCTTATAAATTCTGTTACCTCCTACGTTCAGCGTACGGTCATCACAGCCTAAAATTAATTCAGCACTATTGCATTCTAGTGTTCTAAACCTCATTCCTGTCCTAAATTCAGTTTTATACACTCCGTTCAACTGGCTCAGTAAGTATGTATTGTATAACTTTAACATGTGTATTTCTTACGTTCTTTATGGTAACCATTTCATAAGCTAGACACTTATTTTTATTGTTATTAATTCTCTACTGTCTCATTACTATCATAACGCCTTTAATCGCTACTTCACAACAAACTCTACAACCTAAATCTGATCTACCAATCACCCCTCCATTACTTTTATCACAGCCTCACATGGCCACCCTGCATCTCAGGACTTACATTGGGTCCCTTCTCGACCTCATATACATAGTCCTTGCAAAAGGCCCTCAATGGGACTTTGCAACATCCGTTTCACATGACCCTCAGTGGGCAACATACTGTGTTACTATTTCACTGCTTCATTGGGATTTTCATTTGCATAACATTCACTTACAGGGGTTGCATACTACCCCACCACACTACACAATATCAATAAACTAATCATACCTTACTATACCGTACGGCTTTCACTAGGACATCCTCCTGGGGCACCTGTATCCATCATATACGTTGCCCCTACCCCATGTCAAACGATTATAATAATCGTTAATGTTGCAAACGATTGAGTGTCATCAATACATTTAAACATGGTCCTTTCTTGACCTTCACTACATTCGCTTCACAATGCCCTCTATGGGCAACCCAATACAACACAATTTTGGCGCCTCATTTGGGCTGCTTCACGAGATTATATACTGCTTATATTACTTCATTCAATTATAAGCTCGGTTTCGCTAGACCTACTCCAAACCAACCTATATGGACCTCTTGGAGCCTAAGGAATCCGGGAAACCTTAATCCCTCATCGGATAAGTCTTATCCTTATTCCACATATTAAGCCACTTCAGTCTAGCATGGTATTGACAATGTTACATATGATAAGTCACCTACATCTAGACAATAATCTATCATGTTGGTTATTTGAGTCATTTTGCTTTGATCACAGCCTCAGACGGCCCTCCACTACATACAACGTTGCCACCCTGGTATTCGTGACAATTCTCCATACCACTACACATGGACCGGTTCAAACAACAAAGGCATCATGCTTGGCCTCTACACAACTCTTACAACCTAGAAATGTTTATTCCACATTTGTTAGTTCCATATGTCCGTACCCCTCATACTGACTTTTTTTTCCATCCTTCAGCTCAGGACTTGTATTGGTCACTCTCAGCCTTTCGCTACAATACCTCTACATATGGCCCTCATTTGGCCTTCACTCCAGACGGTTACATACGGCCCTCTTCTGGCAAACCACTACGATCCAATTTCGGGCCCCCATTTAGGCATTTACATACAACATTTTCCTGCTTACAAGGGAAAACTACAACCCTTTCTTATAACATTTTACTTTTCCACCTTGCCTCGCTAGGCCCACACAAGTCCTCCCTATGTGATTCCTCTCTCGGCACACTCCCAAGAACCCAGAACCCCTCATTACGCAATTATATGTATTCAGGCCTCTTTGATCTGTCTATTTTACTTAAATTAGTATAATCCACACCTTCATCTAAAGTGATAACTAGATCTCATAATTCGCTTCACGCTACTAAGCTAGAGATGTTACATACATGTTTTGGCATTTAATTACTTAGGCTACTTTTTTCACGCATACTTTAGGTCCTTCTAGTAGGACGCACAGTGGGAACTCATATCTAGATTCAGTTCAATCAGGTATCTCTTTTCCTGACTCATTTTGTTTGGCCTAGGTAAGTACTCATGATACATAAGTTCGCTTATTTATCATTGTTCCCACCATTCTTGGGAGGAAAATGGGAGATAGATCAAATATGAATAAGAAAGAAATGCAAAGATTTATATAATTATGCTTCAATAGTAATTAAACCCGCTGATAAAGGCTGGGGTCTTATCATTCAATCTAAAGAAAAATATGAAATAGAAGCTTTTAAACAATTAAATGATTGCAAGATGTAACGGATCACCTGGCACCCCGACTGGTTACCTCTGTTGAAGGATGCTCCTAGTGCTTCCTGAGGGCTCCAAGCACTCCAGCCGACACCATAACCACTGTAGACTCCTCCAGAGAGCAAGGAAGGAACAAGCTCTTACAAGAGCTTAGTAGTGATATAGCAAGGGAGTATGACTAGCATAGCAATTCCTTGTAGCAGATTCCCCCAGTAACGAGACGACACTTTGTTTTGAGGATCAAGCAGAACTGACTGTTCTGGCACATACAGCCTCTTTTAGTCCCAATCCACAAACTTAGTACTGCCCACAGGGTTTTACAGAACAACCAATAACACACGTACATTACAGAAAACACTCCCAGCAATTATACACAAAATCCTCCCCTCTGCTTGTGATCTAATTATGGCACACAATGGGTTAACATAATTATCACAAGCAGGAAAAATACAGTATCATAAAACACATCACAGGGACCCCAAAACACACAATAACCCCATAAAAATATATCCTCGGAACTGGGGGATCTGGGTGAACCACATATCCAAAATTCACCCAGATCCGTTCAGTAGTTTGGAAGATACAGTTTAATGCAGATTCCGCAGGCTATATGAAAAACAATTACTGTATAATGTGTCCCCTGTTGTATAGTCCAAAACCACTGCACGATGTCTCTGTGCACCAAATACCAGCGAGATGGCACTGTGTAGAAAAGTCCACACAGTGTCTGTGAGTTAAAATGGCCGCCATCCATTGTTCTCACCATGTGCCTCATCCATTGTTCTCACCATGTGCCTCTGATACATGAAATGGTGGCCACCCAGTAACTCCACAGTATGTCCCCAGATGGTTCTTAAAGGGCCAGCAGCAGCACAACACAAATCCATTATGCCCAAATCATGTCTTTAAAGGGCAATACATCCCAGGGGCCATAGTCACATGGCAGGAGGCGGGCAATCAGTCTTCTCCAATGCCCATTGGCGAGGTCGATTTCGCCACAATGGGTTCTCTAGGTGAAATTGTTCCTCCCTGTGGACACCAAAACTGCACTTTCACTAATGATATCATCGTCATGACACTTTTTTAAATTGTTTGGACTTTCTGTCTGGGTTTCCAGGCAGGTCCTTCAAATTGTAATTTGTAAAATCAAATAATTATTTGAAAAGATTATAGAATTTAAATAATTCTAAATATAGGCATAGACACAGTGGGGCCAGTTAAATACCCACGAGTAGGTCCACCCAGCACACTAATCGGAGGCAATGACTTCCGTACGAAACCGCACGTCACAACCATAGCTACATTTAACGCCACTCCATCATACCAAGGCGGATACCGATCCACCCGCATCTGTCATAAGAGAGACCACAAATATCTCACGTAACCAACCAATACCCACGCAGTCACCCCACCTCTCCTCACATCAAGTAGGGTATCACCCCATTAAGGACGGGCCTAACGCGCCCCAGAGGGCCATCATCGCCCCATAAAAATGGTCACTTAACTAATAACCTTTTTTTTCTATTCCAGAATGTCGCACGCTTCAGATATAGCAGAGGATATCTCCCCATCCTGCACCCCTGCCACAGTCTCAAGCCCTGCCAGAGCAAGCACCCCAGCCTAAAAGATAGACAGCTAGCCCGGGATCTCTACTTTCTTGGACCATTCCCAAGATCGCAGCCAAACTTAGGAGAAGGGGCATCCCATACCCCGCCACGGCTCACAGAGCAGAACTTTATCGTTTATTAAATGCGAACCCAGACACCCCGAGACCAGGGACTAGCACCCAAGGAAATTACAGGAATACGTCAGAAATCCTGGCCACCATGTCAGCACTATTGTCGTCTGTTAATCTGATTAACGACACATTGGAGAAACTAGAAAACCATGTAGCAATTATCACCCCAACAGCCAACCCTACCATATGTCCTCCAACCACACAGACTCTGGGTAATAGCACTAACCCTATCCCGACACCAACCGCTTCACACATCATGCCTGCCGACTTAGTTCCACAGAACAGAAGGGAAGGATGTAAATTTAGTCTCCCTTCTGACAGCTATGGGGACATCTCAGTAGTTCTTAAGGCCAGGCTCTGACTGGAGATAAATAGACACAGAGCTATTCTGCCGCCAATTTGCTGGCCAAAAGCCTCCGTCTTGTGCCATATGTGCGTCTACCACACATGCCACCAATCTGTGCCCCAGTGATATTAGCTTACCTTCTGCCAGCCAAACCGAAGCCACTCCCACTAAACCGGACAGGACAGTTAAAGACAATTGGCCCATAGTGTTCCTGGGCAAGGCACTGGTATGCAATAACTTCAATGCTGGAGGTTGCAGCTTCAGCACTTGTAAGTTATTGCTTGCCTTCTCCCTGTGCTTTAGAGCACACGTCAAGACGATGTGCCCCAACAGAATTTTCCCCAAACAATGACTCACTGAAATTCACACCAACAACCTTACTTTCTACCTTACAAATCACCCCTCCCCACACCTTACCATAAGGTTCACTGAAGGATTCCACATGGGGCTGGTGGCACTCCCAGGGGGCACCCTAGAATGTAAGAACCTCCAATCAGCCACCTTTGACCCTGTCTGGTGGAGTGCTTGGAGTCCTCAGTAATCATTAGGAGCATCCGTCGGTGGAGGTACCCAACCTGGGTACAGGAAGCTCCATTACAGAGGTGTAATAGAGATGAAGGTACGATGATACATGTTTGGTGGCACTGCCCAGCTCTCATGCAATACTGGCACTTGGTTCAAGACCTTATAGGTAAGGCAGCACTGAAGACCCTTCCATTTGAAGCTCCTATATTTCTCTTGTTAGACCTACCTGAGTACCTTAACAGGACTATAAAAAAGTTAATACTGCATATTATCCTCACAGCTCAACGGTTAATTGCTAGAAACTGGAAATCCCCTACTCCACCGACTGTATCTACGCTGATAGCACAATTATATAAACAACAAGCTTATGAGAAGGGCCTCCCATTACTTTTCTCTCCCTCAAGTATTACCACGAGGGCCTGGTCCTTGTGGGTTGCATGTAGATCGATGGATAATAGCCTTCCTATGGATGTATCACTGTATAGCAGTATAGATGTAGAACTGACTAACTTATCACACTTAATAACTACAGAGGATAAGGGAGCACCTTTGCACCGACCCTAAGTGTGCCTATGGTCAATTAACAGATGAGTGATTTTAACATTGTATACATTAGTTTTATATATATATTGTAACAAACCACCTCTTTTACAGGTAGGATTGTCACCGATCTTGCAGTAACCACAGCCTTCTAGGGTATACAAAGTCCAGGACACCTTCAGCTCAGTTTTCCTTTTTATTCAGTAAGAAAGCAGGTACTTTAAATAATAACAAAAACAAACAAAATCCCTTGCTCTTACTTGAGCTCTTACTAGACAGTAATTGCTATCTGCAATTGGGTGGCTTTCCCACTTACCAATTTTCCAAACAAAAGCAATGTCTTTGCAATAAACACAATCTCTCCTAGCTGTCTTTTTCTCCCTCACTCTGCAGCAGGCTGCCCTCTTCTTTTAAAGGCCTGTCTACTAATTGACTGGCTACAGGTGAGTGCCAATTAACTAATTCGTAAGTCAGATCCAAATAGTGGTCTGTTACACAGCAACTAATGCTGTTGGAGCATTGGCCCACCCTGCTCTCCAAATACTCCGCCCCAGGGACCCATACCATGTTTTGCAGAACCTTAGCAATGTAGATTGCAAACTCTAACATCTCTCCCTGGGGCATTTAACTGAAAATTCCCAGGTTGCTGTTTAACAAATCAGGCCTGATATATCTTCCATCAAGCACAATTCCACTTTTACGCTCACAATATTTATTTATTTATATATATATATATTTTTATGATAAAGTATTTATCACATACAAAAGATGATTTGATATATATATAAATGAATTCTGGGCGCTCAGATTCCATGTCAGTGGGAAGTTAAATAAACATCTGGATATACCTAACAACACTGAATATGGTGCGAAAAACCATTTCTAGGAAAGGGATTTTAAAAACAAAAGACTTTTATGCACTTGAAAAAGATATTTATGACAAAATGCGTTGTGCTTTTTATTTGTTCCTGTATCTTCCTGTTTTGGCAGTTTGGTGCAATGAATTGATTTTCAACCAAATACATCATCTCTTGCCTGACTCC